AAAGATTTAAGGAATATATGAATACAAAGATTTAAGGAATATATGAATACAAAGATTTAAGGAATATATGAATACAAAGATTTAAGGAATATATGAATACAAAGTTTTAAAGGAATATATGAATACAAAGATTTAAGGAATATATGAATACAAAGATTTAAGGAATATATGAATACAAAGATTTAAGGAATATATGAATACAAAGATTTAAGGAATATATGAATACAGAATAAGATTGAATTCCACTGTATATCTTCTACAAAAATGTCCTAAATGACAGAACCGAGCGAACTCATTATGATTCTTTTCACCAAAACCTATCATAGTTCAACTATTTCTTTACTTGTTTCTGCAATTCACTACAAAAGAATAAGCGTCCCTTTCCTTTTTAGATGTTTATTCGTAATTAGCTTCAGTTAAAGTTTGTATCAAAACAACAATGTGGTGAATTTTAATTTAGGTAAAGACGCTTAGAATCAGCCAAAAGTAATATAAAAATGAACGAACATACACGCACGCACACACACACACACACACACTGCAAATAGTTGAAACTGGTTAGGTAGTCGTAGATAGTAGAGAAATACTGACAGTAAAACCAGAAAATCGGTCAATTTTAGAATTTTTTCCTGTTGTTTTTCAAAAATATAAACAGATTTCTATCGTTACCCATTAATTAAAAGTGTTTTTTGTTGTCACCAATTTAAATAAGTTTTTGTTGTCACCCATTAACTAAAACGAATTTCTCTTGTCATCTATAATTGATTAATGCTTTCATTTTGGGGGGCATAAAATATGGACTGCGTTTATTTAAAAATTGATATGTTGTACATCTATCTAATTATCTATATATCTATATCTATATATATATATATATATGTGTGTGTGCGTGTATCAAAATAAATATATATATACATCGAAATAAACAAACACTAAAATATATCTGTTAAAATCGCACACGATAAAATCAAACCTGTAGAGCGATTTAATATATTAAAAGGATAAAACGATGACCGGAACACTACCGCCGTTTCGACCGCCAAGGTCTGGTCAGGTGGTTTACTCAGCAAAATAACACGAGAGCTTAAATGCCTTAATGCGACACCGGAAGTAATAAAGGGAGTGGGAGTGGAAGAAATGAAGGGGAGGCGAAAAAAGTTCTTGTGTTGTCTCTGATTAATTAGCTTAAAGAGTTAACCACCTGAAGAGATCTTGGCGATCGAAACGCGGTAGTGTTCCGCTCAGCGCCTTATCTTTTCAATATATATATATATATATATATATATATATATATATATATATATATATATATATATATATATTATAGCAAAAATCCAAAATTACCTCATGTGGGTAAGTCTATTTCAGATTGGCACAACTTAATAAAAAAAGTATGACACATTATAATATTTAGTATAAAAGTTTCAGAGATAGGTGCAAGCTATCTTTAGGGGAGAAAATCAGAATAATAAAATGCAATAATCAATGCAAAGTATTAAATCAACGGAAAGAGATAATTATGAAATGCAGACATAGGAGTAGGTTCAAACTTATATAAGAACACAGAGCTTACCTCATTACTTACTAACTCCCCCCACCAAAAATGCAGTCCCCAAACTGATGCACCCCTCTGTGGTTAAATTCTTACCTTAATATCTTCCTCTTATAGAATTCCGGGTGCAGATTAGTATTCCTAATAATTTAACTGATCCCGAAAGGTGTAATTGAATAGCACATATATATATATGTACATATATATATATATATATATATATATATATATATATATATATATATATATATATATATATATATATATATATATATATATATATGGGGGTATATATATATGTGTATGGGTATATATATGCATGTGTATGTAAACGTACACATGTGTGTCGGAATATATGTATGAGTGTCGTACAGCATGATTTATTCCATTGGGTGTCTCGGTATTTCTCACAAAATTCTATCACTCAAGTAATTAATTTTAACTTTTACTTGTTTTATATTTAAATCCATCATTACTTAATAATATTAAACCGTTAGTGTCTAAATACTACTTACTGTAAATCCCAGTAAAATATATTTGTTGTTTGCATAGTGTAGTATCCTAAAGTAGGAACCGAAATCAATTTACATATAATGAAAGGCTCTGGCCATAAATAAACTCCGACACCAGTGTGTGCGTGAGTCTTTTATTTTTGTGAATGCACTTGTTTGAATAGACGCCCTGCTTTTTATTTGATTTTTTAATTTTAAATAGTGTAAATTATATATATATATATATATATATATATATATTACAATGAATCATTCATACAAAAAGTAGATTAGTAAAGTTAATGATAAACTGATATATATAATGATACATATATATATAACTGCGACATTACTCTATTTATTGAACAATTTAGTTCACATTGAGTGATAAACTCCTGCAACAAAAAAATTCTGAAATTACCATATAAATAAATAAAAAAAAAGCAGTCTCTCAAATTTAAAAAAAATTCAACCTTAGCGTTGCGACTGCACGCTCCAAAAGTTTGTATCCTTTAACAATAATACCTTTAAAAAAAAAAAAAAACATATTTCGATTCGCATTTAATTTTTTCGTCTCTGATGCTACCTGGATTTTACTAAAAACAAAATAATTTCCATGCCTGAGGATGACTGAATATATAGTTGTAAGTACTTTCAGATTAAAAAAAGACCCTATACAGCTTGTGGTTATTAAAAACAAAGATCATAACATCATAACATTCATCGAGTGATATGTAGGTTAATGCAACTTTAAAATTTCTTTTGCGAAAAGATTTCGCCATTTTGTATCATTAAATTTACTAATCTACTTTTTTCTATGAATGATTCATTGTAATATAAATTGAACTGCACCACCCACACACACACATATTATATATATATATATATGTGTGTGTGTGTGTGTGTGTGTATATATATATATATATATATATATATAGCTTCAAGATTGCATTTAAATATGAAACAGGCCGTCACGACTGGGTGTTGACCTCAATGTTGACTACTTTAACCCATAAATATAGCATACCTTAAATTTATAATTTTATCGTATATATATATATATATATATATATATATGTGTGTGTGTGTGTGTGTGTGTGTGTGTGAAAAGTGTATATAAATATAAATAAATATATATATGTATAATTATTTATATATTATATGCGCGGTACTTATTAGAAAGCGCTCAATATCAGAGATATCATATACAAACTCACATCTATCCAACCAAATATTTATTATATATATATATATATATATATATATATATATATATATATATATGTCTCTGTGCGCGCGCGCGTGTGTGTGCGTGTGTGTGTTATAAACATTACGTTTAAGCATGAAACTGATGGAAAATACTTTTGAATCACTCAAAATGACGCTACTGATTTTGTACTTTGGATCCTCTAGTATGTATACGTGTTAAATTCTAATATTTTCAACGGCTTTACCCGTTATGTAGTAACACCATATCAATGCACTGCTTGTGTTTGTAATTGATGATGCACGCTTTGATAAGTTTCTTTGTATTTATAAAGACCAGTGCAAGCAGTATTCATGCTACGGAGACTCTTTTTATGCAATTAGAGCTTTGTCGGTCTTCGAGAGACGGCTTTCCGGAGAATTTCGACACGGCGGTGATACTTAGATTTTGTCAACCGTGATCAAATGGACACTCGTACAATCGTAGATCAGCATCTGAACGGCTATGTAATATTGATATTCGCTAAGCGCGACACATTGTAACAGTTCAGCGGCAGACTGTACTATATACACAGAACTGTAACATAGACTGTTGGAAATAATTTACATGCAGTAGGATTACGAGTACACGTAAATTAGCCAGACTATCACTTATACCACGTCATCATCACCGGTAGTTTCAACAGACTGCCACCTAGAAAATTGAACTTACTTGCTTTTCGTACTAAAAAAAAGAATGTCAAACAATAACATGTACGTCCAGAACTTATTCTCTCACTATTGATGCATCAGGCAGGTATAAATTCTACACCTACCAAGTTTGGTGATTGTCACAAATTTTCTCCCATTTAACATGCATAGGACATGATGTCTGACTCTTTTAGTTAACCCACCTATAGCTTTTGCTACGTTGCAACAACAGGCGCAATAGGAATTAAATAATGTATTGCAGTAGGATACGATCGTGTGCACGTACAGATTTGTGCAAGTGCCCAAGGAGCATATACAGTGCATTAATGTGAATATTTGAGTCATCATGATATTCTCTATATTTTGAAATCCTTGCGTATATTGATCAAAATATGTAATCATTTAAAGTACTCCATTTATATTATATCTACCTTTCAACTTGATTTAACTGAAACATCAAGGTGTTGCAAAATTATTTTATATCAGCGTATGTAATGAAAATATATTTATATATTCCAATCTTATGAATAAAGAATGAGCATTGCAAACATCTAATGGAAAATGAACTTTGCCTAATTATAATCTATACGTTTAAGGTTAAACTTACTTCATTAATATCAATGTTACATAAATACAAATGAAAATGTGCATGCGTGGGTGTATGTATGTGTGTGGGGGGTATATACATTGATACAAGGCAATTTACGTTATCCATCAAATGCTTTTATAAAAATCTCTCTCCCTCTCCCTCTTTCTCTCTCTCTCTCTCTTTCTCTCCCTCTCTCTCTCACTCTCTCTCTCTCTCTATATATATATATATATATATATATATATGTATCATATTCTGAGCTTCACATAATTACATTTAATCTTAAGGAATCTTGATAAGCAAGTCTTTGGCAAAAATCAGAGGAAAAATAAACATAAAATCAGTCAAAAAGGTTTTATCAGTTACTAATAATACTATAGCTCTTGATATCAAGCCTTATGTTAACAACAACTATTTGCTATGAAAATGTTATCTCGCAGATATACCGTTTTTTCTTTTCTTTTCAAAATACAGTATTTGTTATATATATATATATATATATATATATATATATATAGATAGATAGATAGATAGATAGATAGATAGATAGATAGATAGATAGATAGATAGATAGATAGATAGATAGATAGATAGATAGATAGATAGATAGATATTCCTTGATTTAGGATTTGAAAATGTAAAGACAGGTAACACATGGCCTGTAAACTTATATCCTTGTGCGTTGAACAATATTAAGTAAAGTATCATTTGCTGTCTGAAAACAACACTGAGCAGATGTTTGGGAAGAATGCAAACTCTTTAAAAATAAGAAGACATTTCCCATCTGAGCAAATGGGAATCAGGAAACAAGCGTTTGTGTTTGTATATGTGCGATTTCAATTTAAAATATCTAGAAAAACTTTTGTCTTTTTCTGTCTCTGTCTGTCTGTCTCTCTCTCTCTCTCTCTCTCTCTCTATATATATATATATATATATATATATATATATATATATATATATATATATATATATATATATATATCTGTCTGTGTGTGTATACTTTAAAAATTAGGAGATCAGTTGAATGCGCTACCTTGATTTCAACCTAACGCTATCCAAAGGGGATTTTTATCAATTGACCTCCTAACGCTTTTATTTTTTAAAAGAAAAACTAATGTTTAGAAAAATGAATGACTTCGGATTTCTGGTTTAAAAGTTTCTTTGGTTCCGGAAAAATCATAATTGCTAATTTTACCTGCTGGCATTTGTTGCAAATATTATTGTGCTTGTTATAAGGTTTCGCCTTTTTTTAAAAAGTCCCAACTTGCAATCGGATCACTGGTGTTATTTTTTTCTTTTAAATTTGGTAGTTTGGTAGATCGCCTAAAGTTTACTAGCTTGAATGACGACCTATGATTGTACTACGTTTGAAAGAACCTTCAGTACATCCTATGTACTTTTGATTTTGCCCATTAATATCTATTACTTCTGCTTTACAGATTATTGCTTCGGTTTTATAAGCTCCATATATATATATATATATATATAATATAGTTAAACTGGTATAGATGGGGTTGAGAAGTGTTGGCACATCTCGGTGTGGAGAAGTCAATGTGTAGAGATTTTGAGGGATTTTTTTTTTGTCTTTTGGTTACCAATTGGCATTTATCCCTGCGTATTTGCGTTTTTTTTTATTTCCATCCCTAATTCTTATAAATGTAAAGTCAGATCGTAGTAATCATATTTCGATAATTGTTTAGTGGTGATTCTAGTATTAATTGGTTAGATTCATTTCGAATAATATTTAACAGATAGTAAATGTGAATATCTTACTTAATTGAGTATTTTAGTTATTTAGGTATTTTAGTTATTTAGCTTTTTTTCAAATTTCAAATAAACAATACGAGATAATTTTGTAATGAACGGTTTCGTAAAATTAATGTAAATGGGATAAAGGATTTATGTGTGTGTGTGTTCGTGCATGCGTGTGAGTAGATTTAATACTTTTATATGTAGAGGCGTGAACGTATTTTTTTTAATTTGGTTTGATTAAGCGTATAAGGTTAGATTTAAAAATTGATATAATAGTAAGAATAATGAATTTTTTTAGAAACTAATATAAGTAGTAGTGTTTAGTTATCGAATTATGGGATTAGTATTTAAAACGTAAAGACATTGGTTTATGCAAGAACTAGTCCAACTGACCTCGTTATGGATTCCAGGGAAATAGCTCGAACCAAACCCAGATGGAGCAAAAAAAACAACACTATAAAGGAGGGAAGCGTGAAAAGCCTTTATTTCATTGGCTGACTCCTAGCCATATTTGTGTGTGTGTGTGTGTGTGTGTGTGTGTGTGTGTGTGTGTGTGTGTGTGTGTGTGTGTGTGTGTGTGTGTGTGTGTGTGTGTGTGTGTGTGTCCTTTGTTTACATTCGTAAAAACAATGCGCTAGAAATAGCTGTTTCTCTGAATGATGATAGCTCAGTGATATAAACTCCTGACTGACACCAAATCGGTCGGGTTTCGATCCTGGCTTGAGGCATTTGGATGTCTAGTCGCACTGAGGAGCTGTGATAAAGCGAAACATTACTGTCTGCAAATGACATATATATATATATGCGTGTGTCTGTGTGTAATATGCTGTGCTCGGTGATGTAGAAACTTGGGCAGTCGGAAGAAATGGTTTTCGTATCGATTATAAATGATGAACATTGCCATGAAATCAATAGCTTATCACATGAGATACAGTTAAAAGTAAGAGAAGAAATATGAAAGGCAATGCAGTAAAGGTACAACAAACTATAATGAAAAGTAAATTATGCCTAATTAAAGATGAAATTAACAACAAAGAATGTAACAATAAAAAGACAACTGCTCCCTGTTAATCGACTAAGAGAACCGACTCTGCCATCTATGATCATGGCTAATGCTAACCTCCATGAGAGAGAGACTCATTGTGCATTATTGGCCTAACTTTTATCGCTGACATGAAGTGGAAAGATTATATTCACTCAAAATAGATATTGACTAGATATAACCCGAAGTTCTATGCTAACAGTTGCTTCTCTTGCACTTCTCACTTGTGGAATTCTCTTTTATATTTTTGCTTTCCAGTCAACTTTGATATTCAAAAAGTTAAAGTTAAATATCAATCGTCATCTTCTGTCTTTTTAATTCCTGTTCTCTTCTATCTCATTAATAATGTTTTTTTTTTCTTATATTCTCTCACACTCTGTAATCCCTTGCTTCTTAGTGGCTTTATATTCTTGCTTGGGGCGAAAGGAGTTAAAAAGATGATGAAACAGAAGATGAGAAAAGCAACAGTGAAATCTGAAGTCGCATTGGTATAGTCAAAGATGTCTTCCAAAAGTTAAGCAAAATATTATGATACTGGAAAATTTCATTAGAAACAAAGAAAAGGGTACTCAATTGGTATCTAATATCGGTCCTCTTATATGACAGTGAATGCTGGACAATCTTCTGGTAGCTGAACTAGAGACTTGAGGCAACAGAAATGTGGTTCTACAAAAGAATGAGGATAATATCATGGACTGAACCCGTCAGGAACTACGAAGTTTGGGAGGAATTTAAACAAAAAAGACACTTTTATATAATACCACAAGGAGACAGTTTAAATTATTTATCTATATTTCAACAAAAACACTACAAAATAGGAATCTCAGGCAGGTTATTCACAATGTTGATCCCTATGTAGAGCTGATTCAAAACTGGAAATTTATTATATATATATATATATATATATATATATATATTTTGTGTGTGTGTGTGTGTGTGTGTGTGTGTGTGTGTGTGTGTGTGTGTGTGTGTGCGTGTGTGTGTGCACATGTATGTGTCATTCGTTAAGTCATAAAAATATGTAGGAAAATAATTTCAATCTTTTGTTCAGATTGATGAAAGTTTGCACAGTAATATGTATAATTCCGGGAAAATTGGAAAGATTGTCATAACCAAAGGCACTCTTATTTGATTAGCCACAAGTATCACTTGATAATCAATCGTAAGCAAGTAACAAAATGTAGGGGACTTATTTCGGAACAAGTCAAATTCCCTCATTAGAATAACTGCAACGCGCAATATTTTAATGAAGGAAAATAAATGCAAGACAAAAAATACTTTCTTAAAATTGAACTGACTCAAAATAGAAATCATTGCAGCCAACAGTGGATGAGAATGTGTATGCCATTTTGTTTATTTATATATGCATGCATACGTTCGTGTACGTATGAGTGCGAAAAAGAAAAAAATTGATAAGACTTATCTAGATGCAATCAATATTGGATTAACAAACAAATAAAATGTTGTTCATTTCCTTGATATTTCTGTATTTTTGTTTGTTTGTTAATTTCTTCAAACAAATATTCATAATACTAACTTTGTTTTAATAGTTCTCTCCCAGAAATATAATTTGCCTCTGAAAGAAGTAATTCAAGACATTCGTTGATGTTTGCGATAAACACCAAGATGTCATAAATATTATAGACGAATGGCCACATTAAAAAGATCTTATGTGACATTTCATCTCAATGATAACGTAGATAAATTCTCAATTCACATAAAAGTACTACACTTTAAAGTCGTTGGAACAAAAGTGAATTCTCTTCGTCACTGCTGTGTTCCCTTCAATCTGATGCCTCAAATTTAGAATTTTACAAACTTTCGAATATTTTAATTTATGCTGATAAATGAAACACTTACGATGATTTTCTTTTATTTTGAAGTTCTATTTTTGAAAAGTTTATTAATTTCAAAAGTTGCTATAATTAAAAAATATTTCTTATCGAAATCTACTTGGCTATAAAAAAAATTATCTTATACTTCAAAGCAACAAAACTTCAGAAAATATCGTGATTAGTTTTAGAGATATGACGTTTGGAAATTGCTTAAATGTTGATTGAATTGTTTTTGTTTACCACGTCTGCAAAACATGCCACAAATAACAAACAAGTCACTTTATTTTAACTGAAATCATTAATCTTATCAGTAAAAGCTTCTTGAAAAACATAGAGATATTTCTTTAGGCTGAAAAGTACAAAATGTAGATGGCTCATTTAGTTTTAAGTAAAGTGTATATTTGTTTATGGTTGCAGCGTATTCGGGGCAGGCGAAAAGAAGAACTATTTATTGAAAGAACTAAAAGGGAAAGAATAAATAACATAATACAGAAAGATAATGTTTGGAAAGGCATACGAAGTTGTAAAAAATGGTTAAATCAAAGGACGGCACTAAAAAAAGAGAAAGGAAAGCTACAAAGAAAATAAACGGAAAGGAAAAAATCATTGAAGAATATAACAGTATCTGTCTATATTTCTGAGATGAGGACAATAGTCCGAATAATGTAAATAGTGAAGAATATTTGTTCAGAAAAAATAAAATAGAAATAAGAGGGAAAGGATCTAAAATGAAAATTAGAGGAAATTATGAAGGAAGAGAGAAAAAATAGTAGAGAAAAGAATGTAGAGAGAGGAAGTGAGTCAATCGAGAAACAGAGAGATCACGAATCTCATAAGGAAACAGAATAAGCTCTTCAGAAATAGACAGGCGGATAGGCAACGGCTAAAAATGCGTTATTTTGCCACTGTAATTTAAGAACTGAATGGCAGATGATAAAATGAATGCTTCTGAGAAAACAGCCTCAAACTGAATCTCGGATGAGTTTCCTTTGAAGCTTAACGTCTGAGATTTCTTATTTCACCAAAG